GGTCCCACCCGGGGCGCCGACGGCAGCCGGGGCTCCCCCCGTGGTCAGCAGACCAGCGACCGCCACGCTTGGGGTGTGAGGTGGCACTTGCCCCCTGTAGCAGCCCCCACGGTTGCTCCCGGAGGTGGAGACCATGACGCTCTGCAGCCCTGCTCCGCGGCGGCTGCTCACCCCTTCGCATCTCCCAGTCCTCCTGCAGAGCAGCTCCTCGCATTTCTCTTTATTGAATCTCAGCGTGTTGGTTTTGGATGACGTCTTTAATTTGTCAAGACAGTTTTGAGTCCGGAGCTCGTCCCACTTAGCACTTCGGGCCCCTCCCAGCTCGATGCTGCCTGCCGTTTTGGTGACCCCATGCTCTGCTCCAGGTCCTCAGGGAAACACGGGCTACACCAGGCCAGCCCCATTGGAAATGCCCCCCCAGCCACGGCCGCTGTCCATCGGCGCGTCCTGTCGCCCACTGCTTCTGGGGTGCAGCTGAGTCATCACCTGGTGTGGGGCACAGTTCGTTAGTTTGCTGACCAGGGCCTCACGTGGAGGCGCGTTGAGAGCCTCGGTGGGATCAAGGCACGCGGCATTTACCGCTCCCCCGTCAGAGGAAGGGCTCCTGCTGCGTTGGCGTCACCCTCACGGAGCGTTTGTTATCACCGTACCATCCCCTGGGGCATGCGTGGTGACAGGCCGGTGCCGTGTTTGGCATTGCCCCGGGAGCGGGCGCCAGGGCAGCACGGCAGCACGGCCCCGGGGACAATTCACACCCATCTTCTAAAAACGGGTGCTGGGGCTGCCCTTCTCCAAACCTGGTGCCCCTCGATATCCTTCCCCCTGGCTCTCCTCCATGTTGCCCTGCTCTCCTTCTCCCTTTGTTAATGCTGTTACACCCCCACTCACAACCACCCTTTTCACATGAAGGCTGGAGCAAAGCGGGTTTCTCTGTATCCTTGATTATTTTACTCCCTTTCCCCGTTCAGTTATGGATCTTTGTTTCCCCCCGTCTCCCCCTTCCTTCCAGTACTTCTGTACTGCACATTGAATCCTTTTCGTGTTGCCCTTGATGTCCCTTGCTACTCGTAACTCAGCCACGCCGTGGTCTTTAGATTGTACCCTACTTGCTAGTGTGATTTCTTTACATTAATCTGGGATCATACACCCTTCACCGCTTGCTTTTTGATTTCCTGGTCCTTAAAAAACTGGTGCAACTGCAATTGTATGTGATTCCTTCTCCTTTTACTCTTCAAAATAACTCTTAAGCAGGTCGAATTATTCAGAGATCTGACAATTGTTTGTCTGCGGGTGGTGCCCGTGCAGCGGTCGCGTTCCTGGGGGGCTCACAGGCTCTCTGGGTGTCACCCCCTCCACCGCTGCGGCTGATCACCTGGGAGGAACTCCTCTGTGCTGTGGTTTCAGCGCGGCCCAAGGCTGGCAGCCCCGTAAATAACACTCGTCCCCCTGAGCAACCGCGAGGGCTTGGCCCAGCCCAACGGCGACGCTGCAGTAGGAGGTTTAACCGGGGGGGGGGGGGGCCCCAAGGAGCGGCC